TGCTGGTGTGCGCGCCTTCCGCGCATGCACCCAGCCTCAAAAACATGCCTAAATAGGATTTATTTAATTTCCGCTACCAGTTCGGGTGAACCGGTCTGAACCGGCTGAATACCACCTCTGATAAAGGCCCCTAGAAGGAGAGGAGACCCTTTCTCTATCTCTTACCTCTCCATCAAGAGAACCCTGGGTTCATTTGAAAGATCCACGTTGGATCTGGATAAGTCTCCAATTGCATAAGGCTGTGAATCTCTCTATGCTTGAGTAGCTTGAATAATCCTCGTTCTTAAGACTAGCAACTCTTCTTCTCCCTGAAGGATGCTTTATTTCCCCTCCCCCCCCCCGAAACATGGTTGAAAATTTTTCTCCGACATGCCAACAGAGCACGGGTGTCAAACTGGATTTCTTGGAGGGAGGTATCAGCATTGTAGTTGTCCTCCGTGGGCCGGCTGAGGGGAGGGGGGAGGAGATGGGACGGCCAGCCTCCTGCAGCACCTGGCTGGCCAAAATCGGGTGTGAGGGGGCGTGGTCCCCCTGCACCCCATTTTGGTCATCAGGCTGAAAACGGGGTATGCGGGGATCACCCATGTCTCCCCTGTGCTCCGTTTTCACTAGCATAGGCATTGTGGGCTGGTCCTTTGCTATTTCTTTTCTATTATTGTCCTTTGCTAAATTTGATAATAAATTTGATAATAAAAAAAATTTCCAGACCGGCCTCATGGGCCAGATGTAAACACCCCATGGGATGGATCGAGCCTGCAAGCCTTGAGTTTGACACCTCTTCAATAGAGTCTTTCAGAGTCATGGTTCTTCTTCAAAATACAATACCAGGAAATTTTGGAGGACACACTCAGAGGTGGGATTCAGCCGGTTCGGGAAAACCAGTAGTAGTGACATGCATGGAAGGCTGCATGCATGTGCGAAAGGCACGTGCATTCACATTTTCTATGCTGGGTGAGCCAGTTGCTAAATGATGTTAATCCCAGCTCTGGACACACCTCTAAAGTAGAACCTCTTCTTTTCAAGTCCTAATTCTGAACAAGCCAGCCAGTTTCTCCGGAATGAGTTTCCAAAAGCTTTTTAACTACTGTATCATCAACATAGTTCAAGGGGACAGTTCAAGGACACTTTGCTTCCAATAAGGCATGCCAGTTATTGCAACTCCCACTATTATTTTTTTTTAAAAAAAAAATCAGTCTAGATTTATCCTCAAATTACCTAACCAGGTTACGAAATGTCTCAATGAGCGATCCCAAAGCTGTGGATAAAGATAGGGGAAGATTGGGAAATCAAGACTCACCCTTCTACTGTTGAGAATTACTGAAAATTACTGACTCAAATAAATAAGTAAATAAATAAAAAAAGAAATTAATATTACGCATTTGGGAAAGTCTCCAAGGTCTTTCCTAAAGGAAAAGCCCCCATAGACGTGAATTAATCACTCTTCTAAAGATACAGAAGATACGGAACAATTCAAACTCGGACCACACGTTTTCTGAATAGTTTTTATCCCAGAGCTATAATTGCACTCAACAATGAACTAAAGGGCCACCATCCGTGAGCTGTTGGACAGCATTACTTGGTCTGCTGTGTGGATGTTTGGGTGGTTTAGGGATGGGGAATTTGTGGTGGGTGGGAGTGTGTTTGGGGATTATTATGTGTGTTGGACCTGGTCTTTGGGTGTTAAGTGAATTTCATTGTATGGGTATACTGTGTATACCCGTACAATGACAATAAAGTAGTAGTAGTAGTTGTTATTATTATTATTATTATTATTGGTTAATCTTTGGTGAGATTCACAGCCTTTGAGGCCGGTTAATAGCTCAGCAGCTGGAGTCCTAACCAAGGACCTAGGAACTGTTAAGGTATCGTCGGAGGATGTAAGCTGTTCCGAGTAAGGTGGTTTTTTGTAGAGTCAAAAATTATTATTATTATTATTATTATTATTATTATTATTATTATTATTATTATTATTATTATTATTATTATTATTATTATTATTATTATTATTATTATTATTATTTTATTCATTAAACACCTTCTTAAGATGTACGATGTTCCAAGTAGCGCAGTTTTTTGCAGTTCCCCTGGTGTTATTGCAGGAAGCTGCAATTTGTTGATGTATCTTATGAGATTCTTGGAGATGGTACCAAGCGCCCCAATGACAATGGGCATCACTGTTACATGTTTCATCCATAATCACGGAGTTTCAATGACTAGGTTGCAATATTTCGTTTATTATTATTATTTACTTTATTCATTAAACATGAAACTCAGTCAACTGAACATTCAAAAATGCATCACAAATACCACTGACTGGTGCTAATGGTTGATACGGGTTGCTGCCAGCATCCTAGGTATCAGCCAGGTACCTTCTTAAGATAATAAATAATAATAATAATAATAATAATAATAATAATAATAATAATAATAATAATAATAATAATAATAATAATAATAACTTGCAAATTGAAGTTGAGCAACTGTGGAAAAAGAAATTGTGTGTTGTCCCGATTGTAATTGGAGCCCTCGGAGCAATACCCAAAGGGCTACCCTGCTATTTAGAAATTCTAAATTTGCCGGACTTGAACATTTTGACTCTACAAAAAACCACCTTACTCGGAACAGCTTACATCCTCCGACGATACTTTAACAGTTCCTAGGTCCTTGGTTAGGACTCGAGCTCCTGAGTTATTAACCAGCCTCAAAGGCTGTGAATCTCACTAAAGATTAAATAATAATAATAATAATAATAATAATAATAATAATAATAATAATAATAATAATAATAATAATAATATTTAGAAGAAGATTGCAAACTTCATGCAGGATAAAGCTGTCAATAGCTCCTGATTAAGAGACCTATATATTAAGTGTCAACACCAAAGGCAGCATCAGATTGGAAAACATGAGCAAGATCTTCCTTCGATGTCCATCAGCTCACCACGAGAACATGAGAATGTTGATCATGAAGAACCTCCCATGTGATCCTGGAAGGCTCTCTTTAAATTCCTGAGCACTAAAATAGAGAGAACCTCAGTGGACTTCTACCTTGTCCTTCACCATATCACAGAAGCTCACCTGCCTTCCACAGAAGGAGACAGCAGTCACGCCTACGAATGCCTTGAATGATTTTGGGGAGGTTCTATTTATGGAGAGATAAAGGCGTGGGCATTTTAGAGGCCACCAACACCTTCTCAATGAAATGACAGAGGGGAGACCTTTGCAAAAGAAAAGCCATCTAATTTATGCCATCCCATTTTGAACGAAGTGTTTGACTCCAAATTCAAACAAGTTAGATTTAGGAGCACCTAATAGCCAGATAGACAATACACTAGATATATTGTCTACACAGATAAAAGATTTCTTGCAAAAATTCTGGATCTTCAGTATTTCATGGTATTGAGATCTGCGCTGAATAGTATATGAACTTATACTATATAGTATATCTATATTGAATAGCTGATGGGTATATACTATATGGTATATCTGTACTGAATAGTAGATGGATTTATACTATAAAGTATATTTGTACTGAATAGTTTAATCAGGATAGAGAACCGGAAGGGATCTTGGAGGTCTTCTCGTCCAACCCCTTGCTCAAACAGGAGACCCTATACCATGTCAGACAAGTGGCTGTCCAACTTCTTCTTAAAAACCTCCAGTGATGGAGCACCTACAACTTCTGGTGGCAAGCTGTTCCACAGGTTAGTTGTCCTCACTGTTAGGAAGCTTCTCCTTAGTTCCAGGTTGCTTCTCTCCTTGTTTAGTTTCCACTCATTGTTTTTTTGCCTTGCCTTCTGGTGCTATTGGAGAATAATTTGACCCCCTCTTCTTTGTGGCAGCCCCTCAAGTACCAGAATGCTATCTTGTCACCCCTCGTCCTTCTCTTCTCTAGACTAGCCATGCCCAGTTCCTTCAACAGTCCTTCATCGTTGATATACTATACATCAGATATAAAAAGATAAAGGTAAAGGTTCCCCTCACACATATGCGCTAGTCGTTCCCGACTCTAGGGGGCGGTGCTCATCTCTGTTTCAAAGCCAAAGAGCCAACGCTGCCTGAAGATTTCTCCGTGGTCATGTGGCCGGCATGACTCAACGCCAAAGGCGCACGGAACGCTGTTCTCTTCCCACCAAAAGTGGTCCCTATTTCTCTACTTGCATTTTTTACCTGCCTTCGAACTGCTAGGTTGGCAGAAGCTGAGACAAGTAACGGGAACTCACCCTGTTACACGACACTCGGGATTCGAACCGCTGAACTGCCAACCTTTCGATCGACAAGCTCAGCATCTTAGCCACTGAGCCACCGCGTCCGTTATATCAGATATACTATATAGTTTATCTGTACTGAATACTATATCTATATCTATATCTATATCTAAATCTAAATCTAAATCTAAATCTAAATCTAAATCTAAATCTAAATCTAAATCTAAATCTAAATCTAAATCTAAATCTAAATCTAAATCTAAATCAATCAATCAATCAATCAATCTATCTATCTATCTATCTATCTATCTATCTATCTATCTATCTATCTATCTATCTATCTATCTATCTATCTATCTATCTATCTATCTATCAAGAATTGTCCTAAGCTTAGCACAAGTTTTAAAATAAAAAATTTTAAACTTTTAAACGTTCCGCAGATCGTGATGTCTATTGCCTTTTATATATATGTGTGAAATATTACAGATCAGGATTATTATTATTTTTTTGCAAAATCTTTATCCGTGCAATAAGCAAAATACGGAAGGCAACATGTTTTCTTTTTTCCAATTGCCAAAATTCTAAACAAAATTCTTTAAAAAAAAAAAAAAAGAAAAAAGAAGAGAAGACCAATTTAAAAAACAAATTCTCCCTCCCTAAGCCATCCAGTTTGTTTAGAATACCAGGAAAGAAGAAGACGAAAAAAAAGGTTTTAACTTGATACGAGTGAACACTTATCTCCCCCGTGACTGGACCGCTTCTAAATGCTCCTCAATACGAAAGGGACCTTACCTTCTCAAAGCCGGTGAAAACAGATCTCTAACGCCCCGGGCTTTTAAAACAAGATTGCTGTTGTCACTCCGATGCAGGGTTTCCTTCTGCCACCAATGTGTGCATCCTCCTGACCTAATAAATCCCAAAGTCATGAGAGGGGTTGGGTCACTTCTTCAATTTAACTTCCCAGTCGGTTTGCCAGAGCTTGTCCCGAACTTATATTGCGTAGCTATTTATAACAATTTTAACCTTCTGCTTTCACACACACACACACACAGAGAGAGAGAGAGAGAGAAACACACACACTCCTCTTTCCGATTCACAACTGCTTTTGGGGAGGGGAAAGGAGGGGAGGGGAAAAAGTTGCCTTATAACTGTGTCAAGGGCCATGCTAGGTAAAAGGGAAGGGATCATGTTATCAGTCCTCTTCGTTATTGCAAAGGAAGGCTCCCAGACAAACTGCTTACACATAAAACAGTCAAGCAAAGGACGGTGTTTGGGTCCCGTCCCAGGTGACTCAAATGTTTGCTTTGCTCCCCGTACAAATATAAACAAAGTTGGAAAGTTGTCAGGCAGGGAAAAGCTATTTTTTTCTCTCTCTCTGTCTGTCTCTCTCACTCTTTCTCTCTCTGTGTCTCTTTCTCTCTCTCTCTCTCTCTCTCTGTCTGTCTGTCTCTCTCACTCTTTCTCTCTCTCTGTCTCTCTGTCTCTTTCTCTCTTTCTCTCTCTCTCTCTCTCTCACTCTCTCTCTCTCTGTGTCTCTCTCTTTTTCTCTCTCTGTCTCTCACACACTCTTTCTGTCTCTTTCTGTCTCTTTCTCTCTCTCTGCTCTCTCTCTCACTCACTCACTCTTTCTCTCTATCTCTCTTTCACTCTCTTTCTCTTTCTCTCTCTCTCTGTCTCTCTCACTCTTTCTCTCTCTGTGTCTTTCTCTTTCTCTCTCTCTCTGTCTCTCTCTCTCTCTCTTACTCTGTCTCTCTCTGTGTCTCTCTTTTTCTCTCTCTCTGTCTCTCACACACTCTTTCTCTTTCTCTCTTTCTCTCTCTCTCTGTCTCTCTCTCTCACACTCTCTCTCTCTCTCTGTGTCTCTTTCTCTCTCACTCTGTCTGTCTCTGTCTCTCTTTCTCTTTCTCTCTCTCTCTGTCTCTCTCTCACACACTCTTTCTCTCTGTCTCTGTCTCTTTCTCTCTCTCTCTCTCTCTCTCTGTCTTTCTCTCTCTCTCTCTGTCTGTCTCTCTCACTCTTTCTCTCTGTCTCTGTCTCTCTGTCTCTGGGTCTCCATCTCTGTCTCTCTCTCTGTCTCTGTGTGTGTGTGTGTGTGTGTGTGTGTGTGTGTGTGTGTGTGTGTGTGTCTCATTCAGGAAGGGGAAGCATTGGCTCAGCTAAAATTTTTAATGGATGCAACAATTTACCGGTAAGATGCACCTTACAGGCAGTCCTCGAACTTACGACCGCAATCGAGCCCTGAATCTGGAGGAGATTACAGGTAGTCCTTGATTTACGACCACAATTGAGCCCAGAGTTTATGATGCTAAGTGACACGTTTGTTAAGTAAGTTTTGTCCCATTTCACGACCTTTCTTGCCACATTTGTTAAGTGAATCGCTGTGGTTTGTTTAAATTAGCAACACGGTTGTTAAGTGAAAATGGCTTCCCACTTGACTTTGCTTGTCAGGAGGTCACAAAAGGAGGATCGCATGACCCCGGGAGGCTGCAACTGTCATAAATACGAGTCAGTTGTCAAGCATCCGAATGGAAACCCTGTGACCCTGGGGAATGCTGCAACGGTCATAAGTGTGAAAAATGGTCGTAAATCACTTTTTGCAGTGCCATTGTAACTTCAAATGGTCACTAAGCAAACTGTTGTGTGTCAAGGATTAGAAGGATTCTTCTGCATTAGAAGAATTAGAATTATTAGATTATGATTGGGGGGGAAGTGGGGAAGTGGATTTTGAAATCAAGAGAAAGTGGACAGATCTCAAATCTAAACAATCATCACTGGATGATCTCAAAAAGAGCAACAACAACAACAACAACAACAACAACAACAACAACAACAACAACAACAACAACAACAACAACAATAATAATAATAATAATAATAATAATAATAATAATAATAATAATAATAATAATAATAATAATAATGCAAGCAAGGGTCAGGATATTTTCCTTTCTCAAGGTCAGTCACTGCCTCGGCTTGTCACATCTACAGCAACGATTCACAAGGTCTCAATTTATTTCCACCACCCACCCACCCCCAAGACACCAGCTGGCTGTAAAAACGGATATTTCAGCTACCTGGAAATATTTTGGTTTTTTTGATCCAGTTTATCAGCAACGCCTCCAATTCAAGTTTGCTTTCCCAGCTCAGCCTTCGATGTTTTAGCACCTGCTTGTTTGAAACTGTCCTTCACTCTTACAGAAGAACTGATAGCATAACTATAATATGAATATATGTATATGTATGTGTGTGTGTGTGTGTGTGTGTATGTATATATATATATATATATATGCAAGTTTAAAATACTTTCCAGTAAGCTGAAACCAGCAATGACAAGCATGTGTCTGCCTGTCTGTCTGTCTGTCTGTCTATCATCTAAATCTACATCTATCTCTATGTATATCGTCTGTCTGTCTCTATCTTTCTATATATCATCTAAATCTATATATTTATCTATATGTCTATCCATCATCTGTCTGTCTGTCACCTATCTATCTCTATCTATCTCTATCTATCTCTATCTATCTATCTCAATCTATCTATCTATCTCTATATCTATCATCTATCTATCTATCTCTATCTATCTCTATCTCTATCTATCTATCTATCTATCTATCTCAATCTATCTATCTATCTATCTCAATCTATCTATCTATCTATCTCTATATCTATCTATCATCTATCGATCTCTCTCTCTCTCTCTCTCTCTCTCTCTCTCAATCTATCTATCTCAATCTATCTCAATCTATATCTATCTATCTATCTATCTATCTATCTATCTATCTATCTATCTATCTATCTATCTATCTATCATCTATCTATCCATCTATCGCTTGTCATAAGCTTTGGCTTACTGGAAAGTCTTTTAAACTCGCACAATCTGGAGTTGCTTAATAGGTATCAGATATACATACTGTATTAGTCTGTTTTAACTATGTCTGTATTATTGCAGCCCTGCCAAAAAAATATTTTTCTGGGGTGCCTTGGCTTGTCTCACTTTCCCAAAACACTTTAATAATAATACTAAAAATCTTATAGCAAGTGAGTGAGTGAGTGAGTGAGTAAGTGTGTGTGTGTGTGTGTGTGTGTGTGTGTGTGTGAGAGAGAGAGAGAGAGAGAGAGAGAGAGAGAGAGACAGACAGACAGACAGACAGACAGACAGACAGGCAGGGAGTCACTTTTACTTTCTTCAAACAAAACAGGAAATCAATGGATGCAAATTCAAGAGGCACGCACCGATCGAAACGCTTCTTTCAGCTATCCATTCCATCTGCATGTGTTCACATGCTCAAGGGCTGGCTATTACTGTTTTTATTTATTGCCTCTCTCAGGTACAAAAGAATCAAGAAACGTCTCCAGCCTGGAGAAATCCCATCCCGTGCCTATTGTATTTTGAGAAGGGGTGCACGGGTTCCTGCAGCTCCCAAGATTCCTGCCACCGATTCTGCACGCTTCCACTTAAAAGGAGTCACGAAAGCGATCATCCTAACTCTATTAGGCATGCTTTCCTTTCGATTTTTTTTTTTTTTTAAAAAAAACGAGCTCAGGGCAGCGTCCCCTGTTCTCAATGCATTTGAGAAGTCTCAATGCAGACCCAAAATACAGTAGATAGAGGAAAGTCTCAGTAGCTGGAAGGGACCCTTGGAGGTCATCTAGCCCAACCCCCTGCTCTGGCAGGAGGACCTACACTATTTACTTTACTTTACTTTACTTTACTTTACTTTACTTTACTTTACTTTACTTTATTTGATTTATATACCGCCCTACTCCCGAAGGACTCAGGGCGGCGAACAGCCAAACCGTAAAAATACATAGATACAAAATTTAACAAACAAAGTAAAATCGAATTAAACAATTTGGCCCAGACAGATTAAAACACCCCAATCATTTAAAAACCGATTAAAATTTGCATAATTCAAAAGAGGGAAAAACTTCCACTGAAAGTTGCACCCAGTAAGAACGAATGTATTTACTTCACGGTCCTGGTCAAAATAAGAACGAATGTATTCATGGAATAAAGGACACTTCACAGTTCTTATCAAACTCCTGCAATAATTTTAGGATCGTATTACGCCGACGCTGGCTCACTTTGTTCTGCAGATTAGCAGAGCTGGAAAGGCCATCTAGTCCAACCCCCTCACGCCCAAGGGTGATGGAGCACCCACAACTTCTGGTGGCAAGCTGTTCCACTGGTTAATTGTTCTCACTGTTAGGAAATTCCCCCCTTTGTTCTAAGGTTGCTTCTCTTCTCCTCAGTTAGATCTGATATGAACATCTCTTGCCTTGGTAAGGAATAAGCTCGGTTTTAGAACTCTGTTCATCTACACTATTCTTGTCTGGATGCAAGGCTGCATATCCCGGGTACCGAGAGGTATGGCGAAAAGGGAAGACACGCAGGATGAGTATTTAGCAGCTCTTTCCTAATCACGGCTAATTTAGGATCACCCCCACAAACTTACAGAGGTTTCACAAGCTCTGCACCGGCTACGTTCTTGAAGTTGCAAACCCACCTGGAATAGATGAAGGAACTCAAAAACTCTGCCAAGGGGGACTCGGAGGATGGTTAAAGCCAAATCAGTCCCAAAAAGAAAAAGAAAAGAAAAAGAAAAAGCAGAGACTCTGTTGAATCTTGATTCACAGAGAAAGAGATGGTTGCTGTAGCAACTCTTCCAGAAGCTCAGGATGAAATAGGACTGCCCAGTGCTTCAAGAGTCCTTTGATCTTTCATCAGCCTCAGTAGAGATTTAAAAAAATAAATAAATAAATTATCTCAGTGACTATAATAATCTGTCTCGGGAGATCAGGAAGAACCGAAGAAAAAGGACAATCGAAGTTTCTCGCTTAATCTTCCAAGTCAAGAAAAAAAAAACAAAAATAGGGAAAAGGCTGCAGGTTGCTCCGAATTAGCCTTTCTGAACTTCTGAACAGGAGCGACCGAGCATATATCAGTCATTCCAGGCAAACAGGTTTGAATGCAGGCAGGGAAGAAGTTGGCCAATGACATCGAATTAAGCTCCTTCTATGCAAAGGCTCCCACAGACATTGCAATCTTCAGCCTACATGTGGGAGGCTAACCAAAAGGGAAGGCCCTTGGCATGTGACACAGATCATACAAAGCGGCGGAGGTGATTACAGGTAGAAAGGACGGAAGGCTTCAAGAGTGCAAGCCGCTCCGGCAGCAGGAAAAAAAAACAAAAAACGCTGGCTGGCGATAGCTCTGAAACTTCAGGGCAGGAGGGAGGGTTTGCCATTCAAATCCGAGAAACTTTTTTTTTTTTTTTTTTTTTGCTCCAGTAAACTTTCTTTTCATCTTTCTTAGGCTTTGGTGCCTTCTGTTGGGAAGGGAAGGGGAGAAGAAAGGAGATTGAGGAAGGGGACGGAAGGGGAGGGGAGGGGAGGGGAGGGTAGGAGGGAATGAGGAAAGGAAGGGGGAGGGAGGGAAGGGGAGAGGGAGAGGGAGAGGGAGGGAAGGAGATTGAGGAAGGGAAGGGAAGGGAGAGAGAGGGAGGAGAAGGAGGAAGGGAAGGGGGAGGGAGGGAGGGAAGGAAGGGAGAGAGGGAAGAAAAAAGGAGATTGAAGGAGGGGGAGGGAGGGAGGAGAATGAGGAAGGGAAGGCAGAGGGAGGGAGGGAAGGGAGAGAGGGAAGAAGAAAGGAAATTGAGGAAGGGGAGGGGAGGGAAGGGAGAGGGAGCAGAAGGGAGGAAGGGAAGGAATGAGAATGAGGAAGGGAAGGCAGAGGGAGGGAAGGGAGAGAGGGAAGAAGAAAGGAGATTGAGGAAGGGGAGGGAAGGGAAGGGAGAGGGAGCAGAAGGGAGGAAGGGAAGGAATGAGAATGAGGAAGGGAAGACAGAGGGAGGGAGGGAAGGGGGAGAGAGAGAGGAAAGAAGAAAGGAGATTGAGGAAGGGGAGGGAGAGGGAGAGGGAGGGAGGGAGAAGAATGAGAAAGGGAAGAGAAGGGGAGGGAGGGAGGAAAGAAGGAAGAGAAAGGGAAGGAGGGAGGAAGGAAGGAAGATAAAGGGAAGGGGAAAAGTAACAACAGGGACTCCAAATCCCTCAAGGCAAACGTAGAAGCCCCAGTCTCACTTCCTGAAAAAGGTTTGATAAGGATCCTACCTTCACGCTTACATACAATATGCCACCTCAGTAGGCTTTTCACTTTAACTTCTATTCCTCCTTTTCATTAAACTACTACAAGCCGGTGGGGGTGAGGAGGTGAGGAGAGAGCAGGGAGTGCCCTTGATTTACAACACTTACTAACTAAACAAAAACTAATTGCTTCATTCTTCCAGGCGAGGCAACTTTGGCGTCCAATTCGAAATGCTAATTTTTGTCTTTCGGCGTTTATGGTTTTCGTAATTTTAAATGTGGTTTTTATGTTGCTTTAATTCCTAATTGGCTGCCGCCCGGAGTTCCACATGAGACGAGCCGCTATATGAATGGTTTAAATAAATAATAAATACAGAGTTTTTAAAAAAGGGAGGCTGAGCTTGACAGAAGTCAGCAAACACCATCTTGCATGCATGCAGGCTTTAGGCTATCAAATATGTTCTCTTTTAGTAGTGGGAGATTCATATCAGTCTAGCGTAGGTACTCTTCCTTCTTAGAATATTTACAGTCAGAGAGAGATCGTGCCAGTCTGGAGGAGGCGTCAAGTGGGAAATTAGTGTAGAATCATTACGTAGACGCAAGAGGGCAAGATCTGACCCCTGTCGAATGCCTTTGAACTTTATCTAGTCTTTTCCAACTGGAAAATAAGCCCTAGCGTTGATTTTTCAGGATGCTCGTAATATAAGCCCTATCCCCAAAAATAAAGGGAAAGGGAAAGGTTCCCCTTGCAGATATGTGCTAGTTTTTCCCGACTCTAGGGGGGCGTTGCTCCTCTCCGTTTCATAGCCGAAGAGCCAGCGCTGTCCGAAGACGTCTCTGTGGTCATGTGGCCGGCATGACTCAACGCCAAAGGTGCACGGAACGCTGTTTCCTTCTCACCAAAAGTGATCCCTATTTTTCTACTTGCATTTTTTATGTGCTTTCGAACTGCTAGGTTGGCAGAAGCTGGGACAAGTCACGGGAGCTCACCCCATTACGCGGCACTAGGGATTTGAACCGCTGAACTGCCGACCTTTCAATCAACAAGCTCAGCGTCTTAGCCCCTGAGCCACGTCCCTTTCCCCAAAAATAAGCCCCAGTTAAGATCATCAGCCAGAGGGATGCCTTTAGTACAGTATTTTCCCCTCCCCAAATGAGACCTAACTGGAAAATAAGCCCTAATGCATCTTTTGGAGCAAAAATTGATATAAGGTCCACTCTTATTTGGGGGAAAATATGGTACTTAGTACTCAAGATCATCAGAGATTTCTTCCAAAAACTTTAATAAAATCAGTGGGTTGGCCATAGTTGGAGGAAGCTTCATAATATCTGAAGGGCCCTTCCATGAACTTATGTAATATATATATATATGGTTACTTAGCCAGCTTTCAAGGGGAGAACAAGCCATTATAAATAAGCAGAAAATAAAAATTAGGACACCCCCCCCAAAAAATTATCAAATTTTGGTGAAGGGACCATAATAATCCCATACCAACTATGCATGTGCTAGGCTCAACTCTTCTTATTCTTGTGCCATATTCCTCATCGGACTCTGAAGCCCCTATGTTGTTCTTCTGCCTGGACCTCATTTGCCTTCAATCTTTCCTTGGAGTCAAGGATGCTGTATTTTTCTGGGTGTCGCATCACGTGTCCAAAATATCCCAACTTTCGCTTTTTCATGGTTTTGATGGCTTCCCTTGGCTTTCCCAGGTGATTTATCCCCTCCTCGTTTCTGATTTTGTCAACCCCAACTTATGCATCAAAGATACAATCACAGCCCAAACGGTGAGAAATCAGTTGCAGATAGTTTGAAAAAGATTGACAGATTGATTTTTTTTTTGGTTTTGCAGCTTTTGGGATACCTACATTCTGTCCTACTATTGCAGCTCCATTGAGAGTGTCCTGACATGTGGCATTCTTGCATGGTATGGGAGCAGCTCTGTAGCGGACAAAAAAACGCTCTACAGAGAATCATTAAAACTGCCCAGAATATCATCGGGCTCCAGCTATCAGCCCTGGACGACATCTTCGAATCTCGCTGTTTGAGGAAGTTGCATAACATTCACAGACTCTGTTCCCATCCTGCTTACAATCTATTTGGACCTTTGCCTTCTGGCAGAAGATACGGAACAATTAAAACTCGGACCACACGTCTTCTGAATAGTTTTTATCCCAGAGCTATAATTGCACTCAACAATGAACTAAAGGGCCACCATCCGTGAGCTGTTGGACAGCATTACTTGGTCTGTTGTGTGGATGTTTGGGTGGTTTTAGGGGTGGGGAATTTGTGGTGGGTGGGAGTGTGTTTGGGGATTGTTATGTGTGTTGGACCTGGTCTTTGGGTCTTAAGTGAATTTCGTTGTATGGGTATACTGTGTATACACATACAATGACAATAAAGTTATTATTTACTTTATTCATTATTATTGTATTATTATTATTATTATTATTATTATTATTATTATTATTAGTTAATCTTTAGTGAGATTCACAGCCTTTGAGGCTGGTTAATAGCTCAGCAGCTCGAGTCCTAACCAAGGACCTAGGAACTGTTAAGGTATATTATTATTATTATTATTATTATTATTATTATTATTATTATTATTATTATTATTATTATTATTATTATTATTATTATTTAATCTTTAGTGAGATTCACAGCCTTTGAGGCTGGTTAATAGCTCAGCAGCTCGAGTCCTAACCAAGGACCTAGGAACTGTTAAGGTATATTATTATTATTATTATTATTATTATTATTATTATTATTATTATTATTATTATTATTATTATTATTTAATCTTTAGTGAGATTCACAGCCTTTGAGGCTGGTTAATAGCTCAGCAGCTCGAGTCCTAACCAAGGACCTAGGAACTGTTAAGGTATATTATTATTATTATTATTATTATTATTATTATTATTATTATTATTATTATTTAATCTTTAGTGAGATTCACAGCCTTTGAGGCTGGTTAATAGCTCAGCAGCTCGAGTCCTAACCAAGGACCTAGGAACTGTTAAGGTATATTATTATTATTATTATTATTATTATTATTATTATTATTATTATTATTATTATTTAATCTTTAGTGAGATTCACAGCCTTTGAGGCTGGTTAATAGCTCAGCAGCTCGAGTCCTAACCAAGGACCTAGGAACTGTTAAGACTCCACAAAGAAGAGGGAGTCAAGCTATTCTCCAAAGCACCAGAAGGCAGGAGAAGAAGCAATGGGTGGAAACTCAGCAAAGAGAGAACGAACCTGGAATTAAGGAGAAGCTTCCTAACAGTGAAGGACAATTAACCAGTGGAACAGCTTGCCTCCAGAAGTTGTGAGTGATTCCATTACTGGAGGTTTTTAAGGAAAGACTGGACAGCCAGTGACCTATATCTGAAATGGCATAAGGTCTCCTGCTTGAGCAGGGGGTTGGATTAGAAGACCTCCAAGGGTCCCTCCCAGCTCTATTCTGATCCTGATCCTTTGGAGCATCTGTGCCAAACCCAGCTGGAGGGCAGAAGAGGGGTTTATTTTTAATTTCCCAGTTTAGCCGTCTGAAAAAAAAAAAATTAACAACAAGGCAATCACAACAAAGATTTCGCTCTTCCAGGACTTAAAACCCTGTAGTCAGCTTACTGGGTTGCAAGCGGTTATGGCCTGTAATTATGGCTGTGGACACACCCTCCTAAGGAGCATGATGATATAACTCTGCCTTTGAGATGGCATAACAATATCCTGGAGGTGGTTGGGTTTATGGGCTCCGCTGTTTGTTTGTCTTCCATCAAAACATCGACTTTCCAGTGAGGGATTTGTAGACTAGGGACACAATTCGGCTGCTAAAACTCCTCTGATTAAAAAAAAAAAAAAAAAGCTTTTCTGTTTACCAATAGAAAGCAATATTTGCAGCTCAGGGTTTAACGGTGGGATCCTTGGTGCGCTCTAAACTTGGTCGTTCACAATGATGTTACGTCTGCAAGATAACTACCAATCTCAGAGAGCACCGAGGACACCACA